TATCCGACATTTAAGGCAAAAATAATACCAATCTATCACAACCTCTTTTAGAAAATAATGGTGAAGGAACACTTAACCAATTCATTTTATGAGCTCACCATATCATAGGTGGACAAGGATATCATAAGCAAAGAAAACAACAGGTCATTATCCCTCATGAACATAGAAGCACAAATTCTTAACAAAATATTAGCAAATTGAATCTGGCAGTATGTTTTTATGTATATATGTAGGTATGTATATGAAGGTTAGTAAACATTAGCCCAGGAGGTTTATTCTAGGATTACAAAGTTAGTTTAACATCTGAACATCAATATTATATATCATGTTAGTAGAATAAAGGAAAAAGACCTTAAGATCATCTCACTAGATGCAGGGAAAACATTAGACAAAATCTCACAGCCGTGCTAATAACTCAGAATGCTAGAAACAGAAGTGAGCTTCTTCAGCTTGACAAAGCACATCTATGAAAAATCAACAGCTCATATCATTCTAAGTGATGAGACCATTAAGACTGAATGCTTTCGGGGGCACCTGGGTGGCTCCGTGGGTTAAAGCCTCTGCCTTCGGCTCAAGTCATAATTCCAGGGTCCTGGGATCGAGCCCCACATCCGGCTCTCTGCTTGGTGGGGAGCCTGCTTCCCCCTCTCTCTCCGCCTGCCTCTCTGCCTACTTGTGATCTCTGTCTGTCAAATAAATAAATAAAATCTTTAAAAAGAAAAAAAAAAAAGACTGAATGCTTTCTACCTAAAATCAGCAACAAGGTAAAGGTTTGTGCTGTCACCACTTAGGTTCAACATTGTACTGAAGGCCAGTGAAATAAAGGGCGTATATATGGGAAAGGAAGAAATAAAACTGTCTTTATGCCCAGAAGTTAGGATTCTAAATGAGTGAATTCTAATGAGTGAATTTAGTGAGGTTATAGTATTTAAGATCAATACACAAAATCAACTGTTTTTCTACACCAGCAATAGCCAATCAAAATGAAATTTATAAAACAGTTCCATTAATAAGAGAATAAAAAAGTCAAAGGAATGTTGAGTCAAAATTAGGAATAAATTTTAACAAAAGATGCAGGACCTACGTACAGAAAACTACTAAATATTGCTGAAAGTATCAAGCATACCTAATTAATACCTAAGTAAATCAAGGGACATGGCATTGCTGTGGATTTGAAGGCTATATTGTTGAGTGGGATTTTTCCCTACATTTTCTACAGATTAGTGCAGTCCCAATCAAGTTCCGAGAAAGCTTAAAAAAAATTTTTTTTTTTTTTTTTTTTGGAAATTGACAAACTTATTCTAGTATGTAGTGGAAATATAAAGGACCTAGAATAAAAAAATGTTTTTAAAAAGGAAGAACAGAATTGGAGGACCTGCACGACCTGACTTCCATGCTATAGTAATCAGGGCAGTGTGGTGCGGCATAAAGACGGATGTGTACAGATCAAACACTGAGAGTTAACAAACAGACCCACGCCTGAGGGACAACCGGTTTTTGACAAAGCTGCCAAGGCTGTACGGGGAGAGAATAGTTTTCAGTGACTGTTTCTTAAATAACTCTGTATCCCTTTCCTCACATCAAACACAGAAATTAGTTAAAAATGGATCACAGATCTAATTATAAGGGCTACAGCCATGAAATTCTAGAAGAAAATTTTCTGGAAGAAAATCTTTACAGCTGTGGATTAGGCAAGGATTTCTTAGGACACAAAAAGCATGAGCCATAGAAGAAAAAATTGCTACAATGGACTATCAAAATTAAGAACATGGCTCATGGGAAGACACCATTAAGAAGATGAAAAGGCAGTCCACAGTTTGGGGGAAAATATTTGCTGCATATTTATCTGGCAAAGGACTTATTTCTAGAATGTACAAAGAATTCTTAAGACTCAGTAAGAAGACTGCTTTTAAAAAGGGGCAAAAGAACTGAACAGGCAGTTTACAAGATAAGCTGTGTAAGTGGCCATTAAGCCTAGAAATGATGCTCAACATCTTGCTCATAAGATAAATGCAAATGAACATTGACACACTTTGGTTATAGGACAAAGAGGTAGAAAAAGGAATATGTCAGGTCAAAGAAAGAAAATTTTATTTGTTTTGGGATAGAATTGGCCTGAAAACTCAAATCTGTATCATTACCCCCAGTCTATCACTTTTTTCTGGTTTCTTATTCTAACTGTACACACACTGTATATATTTTTTTCAATACCCCATCAGAACCTTCTCTTCAGTATGTTTTAATGCAAAACTGTTTCCTTTTTCTTCCTAAGCCCTGGTCTTTCACACTCATAATTTCACCATGAAATCAGACTCAAAATTATGAAGTCATTTATTCATTCTTTCAGCAAACATTTGTCCTTTTGTACTCCTTATTAATTCTCTACCTGCATCTAGACAGAGATACCAAGTAGGTGATTGGATGAGAGAGGCTGTGGCTGGAGATACAAATTTGGCAGTTATTGGTAGATAAATGGTTTTTAAAGCCATGTGTGTGGATGAGATTGCTGAGGTGTGATTGAATAGAAGTCAAGTGACTGAGCCCTGAGGTAGTTCAGTCTTTGTAAGCCGCCCGGGTGAGGGTGGCTCAGCCAAAAAACTGAGTGGAACAGGTAGTGAGAACAGCGTTTCAGAGGACAAGTCAGGCTGTTTTAGAAAAGGAGGGATGTACTCTGAACTGCTATTGATAGGTCAAGTCAGAGGAACACTGAGAAATAATTATTGGATTTGTCATTGTGAATGTCATTGGTGACCTTGAAAATACCATTTTCAGTGGATGATAACCTGATTGAAATAGATTTAAGAGAAAATGGAAGGAGAAGAAGTAGAAAAAAGATAGCTGTTTGAGAACGTAACGCCCTTCGGGAAGTATTGGTCACTGGAAGACAATATGAAGTTGCAGACTTACTTTACTTTAAGATGGGAGATTTTATAGCAGGTTTGCAAGCTGATGACGATGATTTAGAAAAGCATGTCTAAGGAAGTTGGTGGGATAGTAGAGAGAAGGGAGTGGTGGGGTCCAGTGCACGAATGGAGAGGGTTGGCCTTTGCTAAGAGCATAGACTCTCGATTTGCAGTGACAGAAAGGAAGGCATTATGGTTATAGATTTAGGTTAGTTAACATAATTCTTGAGCTGTCACTACGTAGAAGGTACTATTCTTAAGAAACAAGTGTAAGTAGAGATAATAAATGATTTAACCAGGTTCCTATTTTTTATACACCACTATACTGTTTTTATTATGCTTTTTTCCTGTTGAGTATAGTTACATCAGAATGTGATACTTAAAAAAAAGTAGTATTTTTTAGTAGTTGTTCTATCTGCAAGTCCCTTTTCTTTCCATCAGTTACAGTTAGATTTTAAGTTCCTTGTGGATAATTGCTTTCATTGTACTGAAGTGCTTCTGAGCCATACTGAATAACTCCCTGTGATCCTTGGAAGTAATGTATGCTGAAGATATACTGTACTTTATTTTTTTAAATTTATTTATTTGACAGACAGAGATCACAAGTAGGCAGAGAGGCAGGCAGAGAGAGAGGAGGAAGCAGGCTCCCTGCCGATGCAGGGCTCGATCCCAGGACCCTGAGATCATGACCTGAGCCGAAGGCAGAGGCTTTAACCCACTGAGCCACCCAGGCGCCCCAATATACTGTACTTTATATAATGAGATCTTCATGTTCACTTATCATGGGAAGAATTATTGGAGATATATAAGTGATGTGTCTATAGTAGCACATCCCTTACCGTATTTCTTACTCTTCAAATAATTAAATAATTCATATTTTCTATGTACAAAATTTAAAATTTTTCAAGTTAAGGTATGGTGTCATGAAATATTAAAAACTTGTATTTTTGTGTATTAAATTTGGGTTAAATATTAATGACTGAAAGTTGGAAGGTGCAGTTTATTTTTCAAGTCTTCTGTGTGATTCTTTGAAAATTCTTCATTTTTACCTTGATTTCATTTTTCTCCTTTCTGTATTCAGTTGTACTCTTTTCTTCCATAATGGAGGACAAAGTGACAATAGAATCCAATAAGTTGAGTTTCAATTTTTTATTTTTTTTAAAGATTTTATTTATTTATTTGACAGAGACAGTGAGAGAGGGAACACAAGCAGGGGGAGTGGGAGAGCTAGAAGCAGGCTTCCCACTGAGCAGGAAGTCCCATGCTGGGCTCAGTCCCAGGACCCTGGGATCATGACCTGAGCTGAAGGCAGATAGTACCACAAATTTAGTGTCATAAAACAGCACACATTTGGGGCGCCTGGGTGGCTCAGTGGGTTAAAGCCTCTGCCTTCAGCTCAGGTCATGATCCTAGGGTCCTGGGATCGAGCCCCACATTGGGCTCTCTGCTCAGTGGGGAGCCTGCTTCCCCCTCTCACTCTCTGCCTGCCTCTCTGCCTACTTGTGATCTCTGTCAAATAATTAAAAAAAAAAAAAAAGAAAAAAAACAGCACACATTTACTATCTCATGGTGTGTTAGGAATGTGTATACACCTAAGCTGGGTCCTCTGCTTCAGTGTCTCATGAAGCTTTGATCAAGGTATCAGTCAGGCCTGTGGTTTCATCTGACACTTGACTGAGGGAGGATCCACTTCTGGACTCACATGGCTTTGGGCTGGGATTCAGCTCCTTGCAGGCTGCTAGGTCGAGGGCCTCAGTTTCTTGTCTTGGGGCCCTTTTCCTATGTCAGCTTTAAACATTGCAGCTGCTGCTTCAAAACCAATAAAGCAGAGGGTCTCCTCCAGGGTCAGCATGAACAGTTTTATGTGATGTAATCATGTGTATATGAGCACTCTGTCTCTTGGTTAGAAGCAAGTTGTAGCTCCCATTCACACTCACGGGGAGGGGTCATGGAAGGGCATGCAATGCTCTAAATTAGTCTGTCTGCCACGACTTGTTTACTGTATCTTAATATAAGATGAATATTTCTCTTATTCTGTAATTTTTGTTACTTATTTATATGTAGTATTAACTTTGGATTTTTAATTTTTCTAACCAGATTCCATTGGCCGTGACATCCCCAAAATGCTTGAATTATTTAAAATGGGACATGAAATTAAGGTAGATGAAGAAAGGGAGAACTTTCTCGAGACCAAAATAGCAACAGTAAGTTACAATGGAAATTATTAAATAGCCCTCTTTGTTTTGCTTGAGTGACTGATAATTTATAATATAATATGCCTCTCCTTTGAACTTGTTCTTGGCACCAGCATCAGGAGTAGCACTAGGTACGCAGACAGACAATTTTTTTATTCTGTAGATTAAACTCGTAAATTTTAATGGTATTTGAGAATTCCTTCATGTGCCCCTCAATGATATAATATTTTTGCTTTATTTGATTATTCCATGTATGTATTTTTTGCTCTCTAATATTCTAAGTTTATTGAGAATAGGGTTAGATCTTGTATCTCCCTATAGAACATTGCATAAGGCTAAGCCCATAATAGGTATTTAATACTACTATCATGGAATTGAGTAATTTGCTTTATTTTTATGAATTGTTTTGATTATCCTTCCTTGTGTTTTAAAAACTGTCTACTTATAGAATATGATGGAAATCAACTTTCAAAGCTATTTTTTGGACTCTGATGTACATAGTTCAGGTTTATAGGACTTTGTTTTTAGATATACAGTTATTTGCTAAAATCTTCTTTATGCTAAGGGATCTCTAAAGTACTTTTTCCTGTTCAGTAACTATAGAATAATAGTGATATTGATAATAAGATTTAAGCAGTGCCCAGGAAGTGCCAGGCACTCTTCTTAACACTCTTCATTTCGTATATTTTCTCTCTTAATCTTCAGCACTATGAGAGGACAAATTATCATCCCCATTTTATGGATGAAGGCCAAAGAGGTTAAATAATTTTTCCAAGGTCTCAAAGCTGGGTGAGGCAGAATAGGTATTTGAGCGTTGGCAGTCTTCAAGACTTCAGGCTCTTTGCCCAAAACCATCTTGCCGCAGGCCTGGAATTATTTGAGTAGCTGTTACTCCTCTTCCCGTCCTGCTCTTAAGAGGGATTCTGCGTTTTAGCCGACAGCTGGTAGTCCAAGCTAATTGAGCTGTGCCCACTGTAGACTATCAGAAGTAGAGAAAAACACTCAGCTAGTCTTATGGAAGGAAAACTTGCTTTAGAAAGAGGGCAAAACAGTTTAATCCAGTCAGAGATTGGGAAAGCTCTGTCTGCTGTCATTACTTCAGAGCTCAGCACCAATTGCATGGCATTGTGGTCTGCTAAAATCTGATGTTGCACTTTCCTTATTTCCAGAAGGCCCTTGGCAGTGCTCCTTGTTTGTTAGGGATGATAACATTGTAATGTGAAAAGCAAATGAAAAAAACGGGAATTTTTAGAAAATACTCTAGAGCTGTACAGACCTCGTTCTCTACAGAACTGAGAATACCTGTTCTGCTACTTACAGGACGGCAGACTTAAAACAAGTTTCTTAAAATGTTGTGTCTTGAATTCCCGAGCTATAGAATTTATATACTAAAGAGAGGGGAGGGGACAGTGGCAGAGGGGAAGAATCTTTATGCAGATTCCCCACTGAGCGCACAGTCTGACACAGGGCTTGGTCCCACTACCCATGACATTATGACCTGAGCCAAAACCAAGTAGGATGCTCAACTGACTGAGCCACCCATGTGCCCCGTTGGTGATGTTTTGGTTGGACTTTGGGGGACTATAGGACATCTTTATAAGACTATTTTTTTCCAGGTGGATCTTTGCTATTTGTTAAGTAATGTTTTCAGTATATTCAGTAGTTAATAGTTTATGTAGATCCTGACCCAGTGTATAAGAAACTGGCATCTCATTTATTCTTCTCAACAAATACCATAGTGCTTAAGTGATTACAGGAGCTCCAGGTCAGACTACTTGTATCATTTAGAGGTAGAATGCTTTTTCTTAATGAAAAATAAATTAATTTCCGGTAAAAAATTGTTTTTAAAATTTTTTTATTTAAAATTTTTTTTATTTTTTGAGAATCTTTTTTAATACTACTTAAATATTATAGTATTATATAGTATAACAGATTAAGAGAATGGATTTTAGATTTATACTGTCTGGATTCATATCCTAGTTCCAGATTGGAATTGTGTTCCATTGCTCTCTGAGCCCCATTCCCCATTTTCCCTAAATGCAAAATGACATTAGTAATGATGCATACATTCTAGGCTAGGAAGGAATAGTTGAACTAATGACTATAAAGCAAACTTCTACTTCTGGCTAACATGAAGTAACAGGGACCTGATTACTTTTTCACCTATGATAGCATTACCTCGATACCAAAACCAGGCAAAAAAATATAGTCCACTATCATTCATGAAAAATAGATGTCCTGGGTGGCTCAGTGGGTTAAGCCTCTGCGTTCGGCTCAGGTCATGGTCTCAGGGTCCTGGGATCGAGCCCAGCGTTGGGCTCTGCTCAGCAGGGAGCCTGCCTCCTTCCCCTCCTCTCTCTCTGCCTGCTTCTCTTCCTACTTGTGATCTCTCTCTCTCTCTGTGTCAAATAAATAAATACAAATTTTGGGAAAAAATAGTTGTTAAAATTATAAACTAAATTTTAGCTAATAGAATCCAGCAATATATATAAAAAAAGGATAACATGTCATCACCAAGTAGGGTTTATTCTAGGAATACTAGTTCGTTTAACATTCAGTGATCAATCATTAAAATTCGCCATATTAACAAATTAAAAATCAAAAGCCATCTGATCATCTCAGTAGACAGAGAAAGCATTTGAGAGAATCGAGCATTCATTTCTGATCAAAAAATCTCAGCACACTAGGAATAGAAGTTAATGCCCTCAACCTGACAGAAGGCATCTAAGAAAAACCAACAACTAACATTATACTTGGAGGTGAAAAACTGAATACTTTCCTTCTAAGAACAGGAGCAAATTAATGATGTCCACTTTCACCACTTCTGTTCAGCACCGATCTAGGGATTTTAGGCAGTGCAGTCAGGTGGGCACTTGAGTTGTTTCCATTTTTTCGCTATTACAAGTAAATTACAAGCAAATTACAAGCAAATACTTTACAAGTAAAAAAAAAATTATAGTAATATCAAAAAATAGGAAATACAAAAGATGTGCAAGATCCATACATGAAGATTTCAAGACAGAGTTGAGGGAAGTTAAGGGGAGTTAAGATCTAATAAATAATAATAATAATAATAATAAATTATTAATATAATAATATAATAATAATAAGATCTAATAAATAATGACGTGTACCATGTTTAGGGGTCCGTGAATCCGGTATGAATAATGACATGTACCATGTTTATGGGTCAGTGAATCCGGTATTGTTAAATGTCAGTTGTCCCCAGAGTAATGTGTAGGTGCAGTACATTCTTGATCAAAATCCCATTTAGCCTTTTTTTTTTTTGGTAGAAACTGGCAAGCTGATTCTAAGATTCATATGGAAATACAAAGGATCTAGAATAACTAAAACAACTTTGACAAATAGCAAAGTTAGAGATCTACCTGATTTCAAGCTTTATAAAGGCAGTGGTATTTAAGGCACTGTGGTATTGACATCAAAAAGACGAAATGATAGTGGAATAGAATAGAGTCCCCAAAACCCAGTGGGTTTTTTTTTTTGGACAGCTGACTTAAAATATGTTGCAAAGTCATTTTTAATGGAGAAACATTAATCTTTTCGAGAAATGGTACTGGAACAATTGAATATCTGCATACAGTAAAATGAACTTTGACCCATGACTTCATATCACATATAATTAGCTCAAAATGTATCAAAGACCTAAACATAATGCCTAAAATTATAAAATCTGTGGAAGAAGAAGTTGAGTTAGAGAGTGATTTTTTTTTTTTAGATGTGAAATGAAAAGCATAGCATAATCCACAAAAGAAGAAACTAGTAAATTGCACTGTATAAAAATAAAAAGCATTTGTTCTTTAAAAGACAGTATTAAGAGGAGATAAATCACAGGCTGGGATAAAATATTTACAAATCATGTAACACTGATAAATCCATAATATATGAAGAGCTCTTAAACCTCAATAATAATAAAAAAACCCAGTTTTAAAAATGAGCAAAAGATTTGAACATACCTAATCCAAGTGTGACAGACACATGGCAGACAAACAGATGACCAACACATTGAAGGATGCTCAGCATTATTAGTTGTTAATAGAAATACAGACGAAAACCTCCTTGAGCTATCACTGTACATCTATTGGAATAATTAAAATTAGAAAAACTGACCACAGCAAATATTGATAAGGATGTGGAGAGATTGGAACACTTACACTATTGTGGCGGCATCAGTGCCACATTTTGGCAGCTCAAGAAAGTTAACATGCAGGGGTGCCTGGGTGGCTCAGTTTGTTGGGTGGCCGACCCTTGATTTTGGTTCAGGTCATGATCTCAGGGTCCTGGGATCAGGCCCTGCACAAAGCAGGGAGGCTGCTTCAGGATTCTCCCTCTCCCTTTGCCCCTCTCCCACTTGCTTGCTCATTGTCTGTTTCTAAAATAAATAAATCTATCTTTAAAAAGTAAAAAAATTTAACATCCACCTGCTAGATGATCCACATTTCACTTTTAGATATTTATCCAGAAGAAATGAAACCATGCCCATACAAAGACTTAGGAACAAATGCTTATGACAGATTTATTTGTAATAGTTAAAAACTGGAAACATTTCACATGTCCATTGACAGGTGAATGTATAAATAATCTTTATTATATCTATATAATAGAATATTCTTTAGTAATAAAAAAATTGAAAATGCTTTAACATGGATGAATTTAAAAATGATTATACTGAGTGAAAGCCAAAGGAGTACATATTGTATGATTCTGTTTCTATAAAATTCTGGCAAATGCAAGTTTACATAGTGTACTAATGTATAATGTGTCAGCAAACAGACCAGTCATTTCTGTGGGCATAAGTGGATGGGGAGGGTTGGGAAGGAGGGATTACAAACGAGCACACAATTTGGGGGATGACTGACATGTGTGTTATTTTGACTCGGGAGGTTTTCGTGAGTATATGCGTATGTCAAAACTTAATAAATTGACACTTTGAGAATGTGAAACATAACCTGTGGAATATTATTCGGCAAAAAAAAGAAATGAACTGTGAA